ATCTCACACACTAGGTTTGTTATAGAGAACTGTTCCGTAAGTCATTCACACAATAATGCCATCTGTTGTCAAATGATAACATACTGTCTCTAGAGCAAGGGTATTTGATCATAAAAGGTTAAATACCAAGCTATGTTCATGAAATTTACTTGTCTTAACTTCAGTACATATATATGGATCAACCAAGGAAAGCCATTTTTGGATACCAAATTTAATACTGTAAAAAAGTTAAAACAAAAAACTTACATAGATGAATTTCAAAATGATGATTTAGAATGAACAGGAAAATTCAGTGTTTTTTGGCCTCAAACAGCCATTCATTTTTAGTTCAGCATCAACTACTACTAACGATTTCTCCTTGAGACACCACACAACAGTGAATGATAATAGCAAGTCACTATTAAAATAGTGTAAATTCATAAGATAATAACTATGATCCTATTTAATCTGTTATGCATCAGATTTATTATAGTTTTTAAGAGGCCAAGCATGAATTTTTGTGTGTGCAGCAGTTTCCAATGCACCAACAGTACTTAGCCTGGACAAACTGAAGCGATGAAATTGGCAGTCACTGGTGCAATTCTAGCATTTACATGGAGGAAAAAATGAACACCATGAAAAATTCTGTCAGAACAGCAAGTTGCCCAAGATGAAATTTGAATCACGAACCTACCAATACATGATTATGCAAAGTTTTGTCAGTGGTCGACTCATTACATGAATACTATCCCCCCACAAAATTTACAGACCCTACTTTATGAACCATGTGATATTCCACTCTAGTGGCTCTCATAAAACATCGTGTATCTCTCCTGTCCGATCTGTGGTATTAGAAATATATTATTTCAAGCCATGAAGACTGAGCCTCCATACAGTTCTGTAACCCAACGGTGTGTCTCATGGTACCGAAATCTGAAGCCAAACTGTTAATTTGTACAAATACTAGTTTCACAGAAATCCAAGCTAACAAACACAAGAGTAAGATTATTCAATGCACAAGGAATTACGACCAGATGTGTTCACCACATGGAATGCATCATACTTCAGATTTTATTACAGCATCATTAACCTTAGCAAAAATCTCAAAACCTGCATAGCAAATAGCTGCCATTTACCCAAACTTCCATATACATAATTATTTTAACAATTTCATGATATTCAAGCACACTCACACAAAAGCACACACCACATGCATACATACACCCATTTTAAACCTGAAACTTTCCTACATTAACAGTAGAAAAAGTAGTATAATCATTATGAAAATGAGGACAATGGCAACGATGATGATCCACAATGTTAACGTCCATCACTCTCTCCACTCTTTCTCAATGGAATGATATTTTTAGATATATTTAAATTTTTATAACATGGCTATAACCATTATAAATGCATATTGTATGCAAAAAAGGGTAATATACAAAGTGTATTCATAATGGGTCTCTACGATTTTAATGTTTTGCTACTCAACAAATTTGCAGTACAGTTGAACTGTACACATGTTAGAAAGATAAACTCATAAACTTTCAGTCTGGTTACAGCTCAATGCACATTCTGTTTGCTTGGTAGAGTTAGACTCAGCAGTATCACAAAATAATGCTCAGGCAAGACAAGGTGTTTTGTGCGTTACCATTGCATTAAATGAAACCTGTTATAAAAGTGAAACAACACTTCCAGCATAAATATGGGAAAGATCCACAGAGTAAACCATAAATTCTTTGTTGATATAAGCATTTTATGAATGATGACTGTGCCTGTGAAAGAAAAAGTACTGGTAGACTGGTAGACTGTATTAGAAACATTAGATAATTATCTTTGTGCAGTCTGCAGAATTCAAGTTTGGTGTGATATTAGGTAACTTAACACACCAAAACAACTATCTGGCAAGTCACTTAAAAATTCCTTTATCTCCACGCATATCAGTTTTAGACTGTACAGCAATGGAAATCCACACACACACACACAATGAAAAAGTATGACACAACCATGTTCACAGAACTCTTGTACCAACCAAGAACTGATGGCATACTTGCTGGCACCCTCTCAAATGTAACTTAAAATGTCACTACACCATCGCAAAAGATTGTATTTCAAGCAAAGATAACACATGAAATGCCTTTTCTCACCTGGGCACCATTCCGCAATACTGACAAATGCAGCTCTACTTAGCAACCATAATGTGTAGTAGGCTGAAACCTAGTGCCAAATTGAAACTATAAACATACTACGAGCAACAAAAGATTGAAATCATAGACACTATTATAAGCACTCTGTATTTAATTCCCAGACTGAAGAGATTCTGGAACTGGATGGCTGGTTTGTCGATGATACATTACATTTGCTCATGTATTTGTTCCTCATCATATGCAACACTGCCCCATTCCTAAAATTCTCATAGCTAGCGAATTGAAGCCCATCAACACCACTAAAACAAATTCTGTTTTTAATTCTTTTACAATGTACCTCCTTCCACACCTCAGTCTTCCAATTAGCTGCTTTCTATATGGTTTCCCCTCAAGAATTATTTATGTATTTGTATTTCCACATGAAAACTGTACATCCAGTTGGGAGTTCTTGATTTAAAGACATTAACAACATGTGTGAGAATCACACATGTCATAAATAAATGCATATATAAGGAAAAGAAGTTAAAAATAATAAATAATGAATCTCCTCAGCTAGTTTATCTCTCTTCGACCCAACTACATTTCTTATGAAAACAATACCTCACATTTATAAACAAAAGTCAGTAGTACCTGTTAAAATGTCAACAGCAGCAATATGAATGTATTAAAGACCACAAAATGAACAATTACATGAAAAATGCATCTACAGTTAATTACACAAGAGACTGGTTAGATACAAGGAGGGTTTCCACTGGTGAAGATGACAGGACTTCCTAAATGAAGACAGATGATTGGCTAATCCTAGACAGCACTGATTGGGTCACTCTGACATGAAGTTCCAGGTGCAGCAACTCTGAGCAAATGATTTTGAGATAGGTTTATCTGCAATCCCCATTGGTCAAGGGCTAAGGGTATTTTATTAAATACAATACACATTTTATCTTATGTATATGTTTGTCATAAGTGAAACTTTTGGGGATGTCAATGTGGATTCTGCTTAATAGGTCAACTATTATTGATCAGATCTTTTGCATTCGACAAATATTAGAGAAAATGTGGGAGTATAATGGGATAATTCACGAACTATTTGTAGACTTTATGAAGGCATATGACTCAGTTTGAAGAGAGGTACTGTATGGCATTTTGATTGAGTTTGGAATACCAAGGAAACTTGTTAGGTTAATTAAGATGTGTATGGATAGGGTATCTAGTAGAGTTTGTATAGGTAACCTGTCAGATCCTTTCCCAGTACAAAATGGCCTCAAACAGGGGGATGCTTTATCTCCAATGATTTTTAATTTTACTCTATAACATGTCATCAGGAAGGGTTCAAATTGAATGGTCTGCACCAGGTACTTGCCTATGATGATGATGTCAATTTGCTGGGGGGTGGTTTGGGCACCATAACCAAGAATGCAGAGAATCTCCTACAGGCTAGCAAAGAAATAGGCCTAGAAGTAAATACATGGGCGTAATGTGGCAGAACATAATTATAAGTAACACATCATTTGAAAGTGTTTCAAAATTTAAGTAACAAATGGAAATGAGGTCCATGATGAGATTAAGAGTAGAATACACATGGGAAATGCTTGTTTTTATTCAATTCAAAAACTGTTATCTCGTTTGCTATCCAAAACACTGAAGGTAAGAATATACAAAACAATAATTTTGCCTGTTGTCTTGTATGGTTTTGAAACATGGTCTCTTACCTTAACGAAGAACATAGATTACAAGTGTTTGAAGACAGGGTGCTCAAGAGAATATTTGGACCTAGGAGAGATGAAAAAAACTGGGGAATTTAGAATGTTGCATAACGAGGAGCTGCGTAAATTGTATGGGTCACCTAGCATAGTGAGGACAGTGAACTCAGGGAGGTGGGCTGAGGTGTTGGACCTGCGGGTTCTGCTACCAGGGAGTTATTTAATTATGTTTGGCATCTTAGAACCCAACTACTGTTTTTAAATACATGCTTTGAACTCAATGGAGAGAATCCTGTAGACAATATTTCTCTTAATTTTAACTATCCAGTGACAAAATAACAAAAATTTCAAATATGTATTTCACTCGGAAATAATAAAATTCTGAGAGACTTTACAGCCCCCAGTTTATATTCTGAAGGTAAGAGAAAACAGGACTCATCAAGAAATCGCATGCAACTGAAATCATGAATATTTTTGGAGCATGAATTTCTATTTAATTACACATTCATAAAGGTGTTGTCATTTTATCAGATTTTGAGGAACATAAGAATGAAAATTCAATTTTGTAAAAATAATAAGATTTATGTAATAATACACTGGCCAAATTAGTTATGGGATTTTCTGTAGAATAAATACATTACTGAGTTCTGTTTTGTAATAAACATAATAAACTAGCTACACCTAGTGTGGGAAAGATACTGATGATGGTGTTGCCCATAAAGTTTGTAAAGTCAATAAAATCAGAGATTATGAGTTTCTTACATTAAAATACTAGTTTCTCACTGAACTGAAAACTGAATAAAATAAAATAAAATAGAGGAAGCAAATACTGATGGTAGTTTTCATATCAACATTGACTGGCTCAGATTATTTAATCCAACTATAATAACTACAGAGGTTATTTAGATAGGAATAAATATTACGTTTGCTGAACTGGAAGGGAGAAAAAATGTTCTGGTTGATTAACTGGCACTGATTATAACAAACATTAAAGCTGACATCAAACCCAAAAGAATATGCTCTGTGCTGGGAGGTAACGGACCACCCCATGAAATAATATTTGTTGGCCTGTCTGACTCGTAGGCCCTATGCAACAGCCTTATAATATAAACAATAACTTTATTTGATTTAAGTGTCCTAGAGTCTTCAATTTGTTAAGTGCTTTGTCGCTGAAATCTTTTGTGCTTTGCATAAGTTTAGAAACAAAATGCAGTAAACACCAGAGAAATGAAACCATCTTGTGATGTGAACAAACTTTGATTATTTATAATAAAAATGCATCTACTTCCATATTTTCATTTAAACATGTCCAAGTCTGAGAGCTGTTATTTTAGGCTAACACACATTGGAATCCGGGGAACCCAAATGTGATGCATTTTGGTTAAGTTTTTACAAGTACAAAACTGAATATATAACTAGTTGTTACGGTGATTATAAAACAATATGAATGGACAGGAGATGGAGCATGAGATGAATACAAAATATGTTAAAATGTTTGGTTCAAAAGCCTGAAGTGATATTAATATTAAAACAGATCTTTGAAAAATAGGTTGGGAAAATATAAACAGCACTGGACTAGCTATGACTGGGCTCCACTGAGATTCTGTGAACTAGCTGATGAACCTCAAGGTCAAAATATGGGGAATCTCTTGGACAGGGCTATAACATAATGAAATGCATCAGAAGCTAACAGTACCGAAAATGTATAAATGAGAATATGGAAATACGTTAAGATACATGATTACAAATAAATATCAGTTCACCAGAATGAATGACATGTAATACATTTTGTAAAATTTTAGGTTTTCAATGATCTTGAAAAATTTCATGTTTCTTCTTCTGGGTTCAGACACAATGTAATAGTGGAAAAGGTTAGTGACATTTCAGAGGAATGTCTGCCTCCACCTACAGGGTACAAGTCCAAAACAATGAAAACCTCTTACACTAATACAGAGCATAAGGCACACACAAAACAGTTTCTGATTGGTGGAGAAATAACATCACAATGTGAATAAGGCAACACTGAGTCAATTTAATTGGCATCAGGTCTCCTTTTATGTGAAATTAAAATGTGTCATTATTTGTACAATTAAGTAATGATGTGGATGTTTTATTCTGAACACTTCTAACCCGACTCAGCACTTCCCTAAGTTTTCCTATTCATGACAGCCCTCTATTTAGTGACATTCCATTCTCTGAGAACATGAATGATACACCGACTCCAGTCTTCATTAAATGGCATTTTTGGTTGGCAACACAGACCTAAGTTTCAGAGCCATAAAATATGTATATTAAATTGTTGTGTTTAGATATACTCAAGTTAAATTAATGTTTTAACCATATATTCTTCCCTGCACACTCAAACACGCACAATTAATGCACATGAAAGAGGAAATTTGATCCCAGAACTCTGCTGTCAAATGAGAATAAAATTAAAGAATATGTATGTCTGAACATGTTTTGTGTTCTCCCATTTTTTGTCATATTTTTTGCTGCTGATCTACTATTCTTCCATACAATATTACAAATAAACAGTGCAGTGTTTTATTAAACAAAATACACACACGATGAATTACTCGCAAGCCGTCGTGAGTTATTTTGAATTAAAAAGGACTCATCTGTTGTTGAATGTAACTTAAATATAACACAGAAAAATACAGTGTTCTAAGGCTTGCTACGTCTTTGAAGAACAGCATCAACTGGGAACAACCACATAGCACAGATCTAGCAAACATATTACTTTAAACAGTCTTTTTAAAAGAAGGTTTATAAAGTGATGTGTATACAAAAAACCGATAAAGTGCAAAAGTAATATCAATTAATTTCTTCAAAATTATTCGCACATGCTTCACTGGCTATCAAAAAAGAAAGAGCTGTAACTGAGGCTAGTCATTTAGAGGTGGTTTGGTATTGATCAAGATGCAGTACCACCACCTTCAAGCAGGAACACACTGAATCCATCACAAGGTTTGTATTGAACGTGTAGAAATCTGTGCAACAGTAAAACAAGTTTCAGATTTATACTTTCAATGCTTGTAAGTGAAACAGTAATTGCAAGTTAACAACTTAAAGATTTTACACCCATAACATGATTCTGCAAGCTCTCATTAATACTCAAATCTATTTTATGTGGGCAAGTTCCATTACATCTGAATCATAAATAAGATGACAGCAGTGATGATAGGGTGAGAGACGCTAAACATGGCTGCGGTCTAACGTAAGTTCAACTTCTGAGATATTTGATGCTTTGTTAACTGCATTTGTTTATAGCACAAAAAAAGGAAATAATAAGATTTTGCAAGATGAATTATAAAGTACGTGGAAGGCACAGCACTGTATGGAGGGGCTGGGCAAAATCAGTCAGGACAACTGGTCAGTTAGCAAAAACTTGATCAGAGTATACTACCTGGTATATGAAGAAGGAATGCAAAGGAGTACACTGCAGCACAAAATTTGTTTGGGTCTCAGCAAGTATCATAAAGTGTTAAAAGGATTGAAACATGGGCTGTGTTCCATTCGCATCTTCATGGCAACGGTTATCATACAACAGCATCACTAATATTCCCAAGCGACTGTTCACACAGACCACCTCTAAAAGACTGTGCTCTAAAACTACATGCTTTCAAGGCCTGCATGGGGTAACAGTGATATCAGACACCTTCATATTCTAGGTTTATATGTCAGCGTGACATGAAAGGTTTGCACATCCATCTCAGTACAATCCTGTGGAGTCACCCCAGTTACGACTCCTCTCCCATCATCCCTTCCACTTACAACAGCTTTCTTGCCTCCTTTTCCTTCATCCAATTGGGAAGATTTCTTTTCATCACTACCATTACGCTGGGGTTGAGTTATTATATCCGATGGCTGAGTCACTATTGGCTGAGCCTGCTTAGCACCATTCTCTTTATTCTTGCGTCTGCTTGAACTACGGTGAGGAAGATGGCGTGACCTGTCACTCTTGCTAGAAGAACGATGGATGCTTGGACGTTTCACTGATTCTGCACTTGCACTCAGACCTGCATCAACTAGTATAAGAACACAGAATACACTACAGTAAACATTCTAGCCTGTATTGTAGAAAGAAAAGGCTTTTGGAGCAAAATGACCGGACTTGAAATAAAAATAAAAAAACCCACACTAATGTCTGAACCGTTACCTAAATTATTTGTCATCAATATAGAGTTCAATAGTGTATCCAACTTCTGATCATTTTCTTGTTGCAGAAAGTTATAAGATAAAGATTAAGATTTTGAAAATGTCTATAATTCTGTCATGAAAGAAGAAATGTACAACATTTTGAATTTCAAATCCTCACAAAATCTCTCACCTTAGTTTGTGTAAGGTATGAGATGTCTAGTAAATATTGCATTAGTTAACAATTGCTTGTTATATTTTGAAGTTAAAACAATATAAAACTTAAAAAAGGCAATCTCCTGGGTTGTTGTGCCATGTAGCCATGCGCAACAACACAGAAGACAGCCATCTTCAGACTCACCATCATGAAAACATCAAATCCTTCACATGGAGATGTTTTAAAATGTAAATATATAGAAACAGTAACAATACATACAGATCAGACTCGCTGTAAAACCAAGATAATAGTACATTCAGGAAATGCTTGTTTAATACATCGTGTGCCAAATGTATCAGAATTTTGCAGTTAGTTTTATGGCAATGCTGAGAACTGGTTAACCATGGTTAATCAGGTGGGACTAAGTTAAAATCTGTTGGCTAAATAAACAAGTTTTACCACACCATGAAATAATATGTAAAGGAAATATTACAGAAGAAAAATACATTAAAATACCAAGACATCCATGATAAAAGATATCCCAGAAAAAGGCTTTCAATATAACAACTAATGTGGATCACACCCTGCTTTAGGCAAAAGCAAATTCAAGGCGTTATTTAAAGTGGGAGCCATGTACTCACATCTGTGGACAGATAATATCACTGACACTTACCAATGTTTCCTGATGAGGATCTGGTGTTGGAACCTCTCAGTACATGGATGGACGTTGGATCACTGTCCACTGTGGTGCATGCTAGCAGCTTCCCCCCCTTGCTTCCATCGACTGGTGTAAGAAACCACTCTGATCTTGTCCTCATCCTCGCTGTCTGACGCTCGTGAACCTATTGGGTCCCAAGCAAGCACCTCCTTCGATTGCAGATCTCACCAAACATAAAGTTTCTTATTACCTAAGTGTATTTTCCACAAACTAAAGAGAGTATTTTCCCATTCAATCTAAGCAAATGTAAGGGAAATATGAAGCTGTGTAAATGTTTATTATCTACTAAGTACTGACATAGATCAGAGTCCTTCTTGACAAGCTGATAGTCATTCAGATAGTCAAGAAATTCTCCACACTGTATGGAACCCAAAGGTTTATTACCATGTTCACAAAAGCCCAGTATCGGTCACTATTCTAGGCCAGATAAATTCAGTCCTTAAATTTATGCATAGGTCTTGAGTTTATTGTTCCTAATAAAGCAAAAAAAATATGTCACAATAAAGTGAATACAGGTCCACAGACATAATGGAGGTAAACAAAAAAGTATTTTACAATAAGACTTATGAAATTTCATTACTGGAATGAGTTACGTCATTACTTGTTATGGAAAAATCAATTATGTTCCACTCTGTTCTGATCAGAACAGAGTTCAGGATACAGGCTATACCAAATACATACATCTAAAGTATTCATGACAAAGTTTAGACCTAACACATGCAATTTAATTTCAGTTATCTACATATGAGCATAAACTCTTATTGTTTTGTAGTTTTTATAAAGGAATAAGAATTTACATGCAGAACAACTTTAAGAACAAGGCTGTCAATTAGAAATGTAATGTCTCTTATTTTTTGTGTATTTCACATACCTTAAAATGCATGTCACTATCACCAACCTTACAATACTGCCTACAAATTTTTCCTTCAAACGGTACTCATATGACAGTTCAACTTTCCATTAAAACCCAGGAGCACTGGTACATGGCTGGAATGTTAAATGGTTCTTTAAACCCCTGCAGAGTGCACACTATCAGAAAAATTAAATAATTATAGCATCCCAATACATACACACATACATACTTATATATAGCTGATTTTTCCCTATACCCAGAATACCCCTGAACATGGTAACTGCAATGTTTGCTCAAACAGTGGTATGACCTAAAAAAATGAGGCAGTATCATACACTAAATCTGAACAACTACCTGAGGATGGTATAGATATATTTACTATAAGGGTTAGAAAAAACTGTTGAAGCACATCTTCCAACTTCATTCTTCATGCCACTTAAAGATTGTGAAGGTATCACAAACAGTACGTACTACTGGACTGGTCATGGGCTTAAAGGTACAGGGAACCTTTGGCAAAACCATTTACTGTCCACCAGAGAAAAGTAACATCATTTTGAAAATGCCAAATGATTTTAACAAAGGCTGAAGTGAATTCTGAAAGTATTCAACACGGGAAAAAGTCTTGTATGATTAGGATTTTATATATGAACAAGCAAAAGGTATGGAATTCGTACAGTAAAACTTCTGCACCAGGAACTTGTCTATAACAAAGAAAATGTGGGGTGGGTTTTGTGAGACATATCAGTCAGTAAGTCCTAAATCAGTGTCTACAGAATACAAGTGTTAACAATCCACAAGAAAGAATATTTGGTAGCATAAAATATAAATATAGAAAACATTAACCTGTATTGTCACACTGATTCATGGAATTGTTCTTTCCACTTTATTGCCAATTTCAATTACAATTAGACTTGCAATTAATTTTAATTAATAAATACTTAGTGAACAGGTCACTTGTAGCATGGTATCTTTTTATCATTTATTTATTTGTTTAAATAATTTTAACTACATAGGTTACATAGCACCAAATGGGAAACCAGAGTAAGAATTAAGAACAATCTAAGAGAAGCCATCATAACTCATTCCCAAAATTTAGCTGAAGTTACTAAAATCATAATTTTAATATATGAAATATTATTATTAAATCTGAGTAGGATTAACAGTAAACTATTGCTATCGTAATGACAAAAAAATGCTCAGAACACCTGCTATCCCGATTACTCAATAAGCCGGTACATAAATGTAATGGCTGCCGCTGCCACCTGACAGGTACACTCTGTACAACAAAAATCAAGGGCTTCAAATTTTCTGAGTATTAGACCAAAAGTGACGTAAGCTTACAGCTGTCATTGTAATTCCAGCCATTGGCAATCTCCTTGAATTTGTCCATATGTGGCATTTCTATACCTTCCATTAACTACAATGATTTATGACAGACACTAATATCTCTGCTTAAGTTGAAGAAAAACATGAATGGATGTTAATGGCATTCCAAAGTCCTTCAAAAGCAAAACAGAAGTAAGAGTCCTCCTTCAGTTGGTTGCCAATGTTCCCTCACATATCATCTGGCATGGTAGCGGACTGGCAATGATGCGAAAATCATATGCTCAAGCTCAATTCCTGATGTTTATACAGAGTGAGTCAGAAGTATGTTTACAAACTTCGTGTGCGTGTTCCAGGATCAAAAATAAGAAAAAATGTTCCTATGAACACGGGGTCGCAAATGTTTCATTTTTGAAATAATAGCCAAAAATAATTTTCAATGTATGCCTTTATTTCCAAGTATAAGGACAGGGATGTTTCTTTATAACAGATGCTCAAAGGTTGTTCACACACCCTATATATGAATCTGAACACCCATCCATGTCGCAAGATGTATTCAGCTTTTAAAGAACAAAAGTTCAGACATAAGATTATTTAGACTCAAAAAAATATCCCTTCCAAACACAGACATGACTTACACACTGTAGACACATTAACACCTCTACACAGTTAACAGGGCTCTGATCCACCAAAGGCATAAGACAACATGCAGAGATTGCATAGCTCTGACAAGTGTTGCTAATGATCACTTTGGGGCAACAGGAAGTACCTATATGGGACTCAGTAAGCGGTAACTTTTTCTCATAGGACAAAAAGTTAAAAGACAGAAAGTAACAACACAGAACCAGTGGTTCCTGTCTACCATCAAAGGAAGCTAGCAATACTAGCAAGTATATGGAAAGTGCGGAAGAATTCACAGGTAGGCACTCTTCAGTAAAAATGCCCGAGGCCAGTCTCCAGGGAGCCAGTGATTCTGGTAGACCATATAGGGGCTAATAGTTCTAGCAAACCTGTGGAAGGGGAGGGCCTTGAAATACACAGCATCAGCATCCCAGGCAGGCAAGTCCACTTGCAAAGGGCAAGACTGTCTGTAAGTGCAGTGGGAAGCTTAAACAAAAAAAGAGAGACCAAACATATTGAGGAAAATACAGCAAATTGGGCACAAGGCCACAATTAAGCAAAGGAAAACCCAACTTGGATCTTTTAAATTCCCAGGGTAGTCGGCAGTACGTCTACGAAAAAGGCCAAACTTTCCAAAAGGTGCAGGGACTCTCTTGAGACTACGGGCCTGTAAGGAGACCCTGACCAATCTAAAAGACAGATATCTGCAAGGAGAATCAAGCTGAAGGAAAGCTGAATGAGGATGACAAGAACTCATGTTGACAGAAATCTCGAGTGTTTTGTGGGACACCAAAGCAAGAACTGCTGTACCTCAGATCTTGCAGACTAGGAGGCATCGCGACATATCTGCGTTGTCACCGATGATTTGGTCTCACACATGGAACCAGGACTGGTAAATGGCTTTACTGCACTTCATACAAAGTGCGAGAATTGTACAGGGTTCTATTACAGAAGGGGCTGCAGAGCAGATCAAAAATGGTCATGGTGCTAGGGTCGTTAATTGCATTCATTCATTCATAAAAATATGGTACATTGCCTTAGGTTGGGTACATCTGATGGACATACACAAAACATTGAATAAGGTAAGTGAGGGGAAGAGAGTAGGAAGGGTTAAATGACCAGTCGCTAACCTTGTTTTGATGTCTGATGCAATCTCACCTGGGGCAGGTAGGACAAACTTTTAGTACTTTCAGCATAGCGATTCACATCTCTAAGTTCTTCCAGTGTCATGTGGTGGGTAGTTGTGGCACTGCTGGATGACGATCGACTAGACCCCTGCGCAAAATTGATAAATCAAGGGATCAATAAAGAAATGAGTACGGTATGGTTAAAATAGGGCGCCAGATGTTTTTTCCATAACTTGTTTCATAACATCTTGCAGTATTACAGCCCAACAGTACTTCTATACTATATACTTATTCACTTAAGCTGCTCCAAAGGTGGAATCTCATTCGGACATCAGTAGTGTTACAGGCATGAATTACAAAGCATTAAATTACCTAACTACTCACATACATGGTCTTCTACTGCTTCTTCTTTTCTTTATCAAGGACTAGGTCCAAGACCTGTTCTAAGTATCATAATCATGTCTGACAAGCTGAACGATAATTTGGCATCATCTGGCAATATTAGTGAGTTGATCAGTGCTGGATCATGCAATTCATGATTCAGCAGTTTTGTGAGATAAATAGTTTTGTGGTTTAAGTGGCAGCCTTGTTTTTTATTACCTGGGCGATAAATTATGACAACAGAATAAACATTACATTTTTACTGAAACTCTAGAAAAATTTGCAATACACAGCAGCAAGTTTCTCGAGGAAACAGTGAGTATAAAATAAGCTTCTGCATGAGTCGAGAAATTTAAAGATGAAAGGGATGTTACAAGCGACACAATATCAGACTTCAAAAACTGATCAAAATTCAGAAAAGTTACTGAAATGGCGAGAAATAATTGTTGATCTGGAATATAGCAGACAAACTGAAGATGTATGGAGAAAACAATATTAATATAACCAAAGTCTATTGAACATAACTGGATATTACAATTAAAAAGGGGTTCTGACTCACTTTAATTTTAATTTATAGCATACTGTAATCATAAACTCAAATACATTTTAATCAAATGAGCAATCTAAATAAAGACTAATGAAAGAACCCAACCTTTTGCAAAATTATGCCTCATAATGAGATTCTGGTCTTCAAGTACAATCCAGAAAAAACATTGAACCCCTGAACCCTCCAATGAAACTGCCCAGTCTCTGAAACTGAAGAAAGTGCGAATGTCAACATCAAAGTATGCTCATTTGATTCTTTTTCATCAAAGTAATCATTACAAATCTTTTCCTCCAAAACAAGTAATTTCCTTACTTTAAAGTTTTGAAGTTATGGCAGTTCATCTGCTAAAGACTATTCAACCTTCAACTAAACAAGTGGATTTTGTATGACAATGCATGTTCCCATAAAGCATTTTTCAGTCAAAAACAAACTCTGGTAATAAAACACCCACTGTGTGCACCTGACAAAACTAAAAATCTTCTTGAGAGTGTCTCATTTCCAATTACTTGCAGGGGGAGAAAGAGTGATGACAGTCTAATGTAAAGAAAATTATTTTCAACAAAAGGCAAAGTACTCTGACAGTACCACACCAATGATTGAAACCAATATATTCTTGTTTTAGAGCATCAATCTAGTTATGTAATTTTCAGACCTCACACATATGCATTACAATAAAATTACTCAAATATATACCAATGTATATGACTGCTCCAAGCTCACTCTACCATGCACGATATGAAAGCAGAATTTGTTCAAATTAAGAGGCCGCAGGCCCAAAGCCAGGTGGATGCCCTCCCATGCAGAATGCACTTGCTCTTGAACGTCATCAGACACAATGATATAAAAAAAGGTGGAACATTTTGAGAGGAAGCGCCGGTAGCAACACCAACATCGGATTATTTTGCCTAAAATAAGACTACACTCAAAAGTTTAAAGATATTTTAAGACCATAAATGTTATCACAAGTTTTATAAATATTAATATATACATTAATGCTTGCTCAAATGACCCTTAGGGCTATGCCGGCTGGAGCTTCAGCTCATGGTAGGGTCACCCAAGCCGGACAGGTCTAAGGCGTTGTGCCAGACCAAGAGTGATACCCTGGTCCTCCAGGTTGGGGGTTGGGCATAAGGCTAACAACCTTTCACCTTAAAAACAAAGCATTGTTACGAACACATTATCCAAGCCTCGGACCAGGACGGACTCTTTGGCACGACCATGGCAATTTAAAAAGGACAATGGGGCATGGAGAAAACTGCATAATGATGAGCTTAAAAATCTGTACTCCTCCCCCAGTATTGTCAGGGTGATTAAGTCAAGAAGAATGAGATGGGCTGGGCATGTAGCGCGCATGGATGGGGGCAAGAGGTGTGCACCGGGTATTGGTTGGGAAGCCTGAAGGGAAGAGACCACTGGGGAGACCTAGATGTAGATGGGAGAATAATGTCAGGTGGGATCTATGGAAGATAGGAGTTGAAGGAGACTGGATTCTGTTGGCCCAGGACAGGGTCTCATGGAGGGCTTTGGTTAATTCGGTGTAGAACCTTCAGGTTCGGTAAGCCATCTAGTTAGTTAGTGATGATTATACAAAAGCTCAGTCATTCAAGCAGCGGGTGGGCTGGAATTCTTTTCTCAGTTGAGTTTTTCAATATTTTTCTGTTAACGTGCCCACAATCCCAGAGTCCACCAAGAATCCTATTCAATGAATGTTAGGGACTCCAGAGTGCAACATGCAATTTTGCTCGGAACATTACCCTCAAGGCACAGCAATAGTTTCTCCTTCACACACTATCAATCTAAAGGCCACTTTTAATAGGCATCACAGTTTTAACACTTCTGAAATCTAACAAAATTTTTGGGTTCCACGAGAAAACAGTTCCTTCTCCATAACCCTATTAGCAATTTGTGGGTGTGCACCTGCCATCCATCCCACTGCCAACTACAGATGTTAAGTAGGATTTGAGGTTCTCATGGCAGAAAGTATGAAGATGGCCGTCTTCTAGGTTGTAGCATTGTGTAGTTTGGTAGAAGTTTACCAATGTTTCAGAGGTACTTGCTACCTCCATCATCACCCTGATTATGTAAGCAGCAAGGACATATCAGACGTTGGTAAACTAACAGACTATGAGGCGCTACAACCGAGAAGAGAGCCATCTTTATAGATATTAAACCTATCAATGCTAAGTGACCAATAAACACATAAAGCAAAGTCCTTTAGTGGCTAACAATTTTTCATCTGGACAAGAAACTCACCTTTTATGGAACTTGAAGCTTCATTAGAATGTTCAAAACAGCTTACAAATGGTCCTTAACCCTGAGTGAAATGAATCCAGTCCACACCCTATTTCTGTAAGATCCATTTTACTATTCGATCTACACCTCGAGATCATCCAAGTTTTCTCTTCCTTTCAGGCTTTGCAATCAAAATTTTGTAAGTATTTCTCATTGCTCACATGTGTGATAAATGCCCTACCCATCTCATCCATTTTTGATCTGATCATACTAATATTGGTAAAGAGTACAAATTACACAGGTCTTCACCAAAACATCTTCTCCAGCCTCCTGTCACTTCATCCCTATGCACTCATTCTCAAACATACTCAATCTGTGTTCTGTCTTCAGTGTGAGACATAAATTTATACAAAACAGCAGGTCAGAATTATAGTTTTGTATATTTTAATCTTTGTGCTTTTAGATGTGAGGGCATAAATCTAAAATAAATGGTGGGAATCATCATTCACATTCAATAGTGTAATGTTGATTTAATACAGTTATTCCCAAATATTAGCAATTTTCTGGTGAAACACAGTACAAATACTTTGCTTTTTGATACTTCCCCATCCAGTACTGAACCCCTTGTCATCAGCAGTACCAACACGGCAGCTGTGCAAATTACTGAAATCAGAACAGCAATGGCACCATTCGCTGCAGGGTACTGAATTTTGTACAGTAATAATTTTCTAAAATATATATACAGCTTTTAATTGGAAAAAGAAAGATAACCACACCAAACACAAGCAATTTAAATACCTGTCTGAAACTAAGAATTCAAAACATCTAACATAATAAAATATTAGCAACTCTTTCTTAGCTTCATGTCTAAATGATCAACCAGCCCACCTTGCTCATAATCAGCAGGTACCAAGAACAGTTTTGCAGGGACAAAGGCAGTCAGAGTATGAAACTGGCCACCTGGCTTCTCCTAATGCTCACGTCCAAATTTCATCTTGATGCCCCTTGTGTATCTTGATGACACGGTGCTTAATGTGTACCACACAATGTGAATGGAGATCTCAGTGTGCAATGTTCAGTCTCTTGTTGGGAGACTCTTGATAACCGAACCTGGTGAGGTGGCTACAAATGGTGCAAAAAGCATGGTAACAGATACTTCAGATTCTTGTGGTAGTAAAGATGTTGGTGATGTTTCTCTGAGCTGTAATGCCATATCATCTCCTACATTTCCCCAAAATGTTTTGAATCACCAACAGAACCACACAGCATGCACCACAACCCAGAAAATCATCACTGACAGGATGAACATAGTCTCAGAAAGTAACATTATGTCAAAATAAAATGACTGAGGTGAGAAAGTGGAACAAGTGACTGTGTGATAAAAATTAAGATGTCTGCATTTCTTTACACTAAACCAACTTTTACCTTGAATAAGCCATTCTCTTCCAGACTGATAGAGAGGCGTGTATAGCTCTCTAGCAAGTTGTTCTCTGGGATGATGCCAAGTGATGTACTAGGAGCATCTGGGACACAAATCAATGCTGGAGTTGACTGGCTCTCCTCTTGGTGTGGATGTGAGGGCATAAATCTAAAATAAATGGTGGGAATCATCATTCACATTCAATAGTGTAATGTTGATTTAATACAGTTATTCCCAAATATTAGCAATTTTCTGGTGAAACACAGTACAAATACTTTGCTTTTTGATACTTCCCCATCCAGTACTGAACCCCTTGTCATCAGCAGTACCAACACGGCAGCTGTGCAAATTACTGAAATCAGAACAGCAATGGCACCATTCGCTGCAGGGTACTGAATTTTGTACAGTAATAATTTTCTAAAATATATATACAGCTTTTAATTGGAAAAAGAAAGATAACCACACCAAACACAAGCAATTTAAATACCTGTCTGAAACTAAGAATTCAAAACATCTAACATAATAAAATATTAGCAACTCTTTCTTAGCTTCATGTCTAAATGATCAACCAGCCCACCTTGCTCATAATCAGCAGGTACCAAGAACAGTTTTGCAGGGACAAAGGCAGTCAGAGTATGAAACTGGCCACCTGGCTTCTCCTAATGCTCACGTCCAAATTTCATCTTGATGCCCCTTGTGTATCTTGATGACACGGTGCTTAATGTGTACCACACAATGTGAATGGAGATCTCAGTGTGCAATGTTCAGTCTCTTGTTGGGAGACTCTTGATAACCGAACCTGGTGAGGTGGCTACAAATGGTGCAAAAAGCATGGTAACAGATACTTCAGATTCTTGTGGTAGTAAAGATGTTGGTGATGTTTCTCTGAGCTGTAATGCCATATCATCTCCTACATTTCCCCAAAATGTTTTGAATCACCAACAGAACCACACAGCATGCACCACAACCCAGAAAATCATCACTGACAGGATGAACATAGTCTCAGAAAGTAACATTATGTCAAAATAAAATGACTGAGGTGAGAAAGTGGAACAAGTGACTGTGTGATAAAAATTAAGATGTCTGCATTTCTTTACACTAAACCAACTTTTACCTTGAATAAGCCATTCTCTTCCAGACTGATAGAGAGGCGTGTATAGCTCTCTAGCAAGTTGTTCTCTGGGATGATGCCAAGTGATGTACTAGGAGCATCTGGGACACAAATCAATGCTGGAGTTGACTGGCTCTCCTCTTGGTGTGACATTGCTGAAATATTCCACATAATTACATGGAATCTTTATTTCCCTCCTAATGACAATTATTTACAATTTTAATTCATAAAACTGTGTTATGGCACAGGATAAATAAGTTTCCTAGAGCCTGCATAATTTTTTGGTAACGAAATGTGAATCAGACAAATGGAAAAGCAAATGCTCTTTGCAATGGAGAAGTGCCGTGTTTCTTTTGAGGTAAGAACTAAATTTTTAAATATTATATAGACAAGTTTCAGCTTCAGAGGGTTAATCATTTTAAAATGCTACATTCTGGTCTGTATCTGTAACTTTTGTTGAAGCAATTTATACAGCCAGTGACAAACTGTACATACAGTGTTCTCTTTTCTATGAATATATGATGAAATTACTTGTATGATTCTTATGGTCAAAAGTGAACAGAATAATAACATGCATCATAAATGTAGCACTATCTTGTCATTCCACAGGGCTACTCTGAGCATGCATGATCACACTGTACTGTAAACCAATAATAATTTCCTCAACACAGTAACGTATGCCATTTTTTGACTCGACATACAGGACAGTAATTACGGCACAGATATACTCAGTAGGAAAATGATTAAATTAACAAATTCAGAAATTTATTTAAAGAAGGAACTGTATTGTACTGTTTCTTCTTAAAGTGTACTAAGTGATGGATTTTTTCTTTTTTAATGAGCCATTAAATACTTCAACAGCTAATAAAAAACACAAACGTCATACAAAAATAATGTATGTGACATGGCTTGGTGTTGTAAATAAATATGACATAACTAAAATTTAGAATATTTTATAAGAAATTTGCAGAAAAGTAATCTTAAATGGAAAATACAAGAAACAGCAACAAATTGGGAGTGTCACATAAATGAGGAATGCTGGCAAGCATGTAATGACCATACCTACATCAAACAATCTACCAATGACAAAGGATGGTGAAATGCCTGGATTACCTTCCAGGTTGAAGTTGAGTCCCCATCGTTCACACTCATACTGCAACCAAGTCTTCTCTGCCTCAAGCGACAGCTGGCCTGTTGAAACACACACACACACGGGTCGGACCAGGGAATAATGAGGCCAAACAGGTAACAGCACTATTGGACACCAGAAACCCACGCATGTCTGTGTTCACCGTAGGCAAACTCCATAACAAAAATGAAGCAGAGATTTAACAACAACTGAAAAATTTGACGTTTTCATGACAGCGAAGATGGCAATGTTGTTCTGGAGTTTGATGCTATAGGACTTCCATGAAGATGGATTGAGTATATTATCTGAAATGTTTATATCTATATACAAGTCTTACACAGTGTCAAAATCCAGAAGAACATCAAAGTCAGTAAGTGGGACCCTTATTTTCCAACAGCCACTTCTTTTACTGTTTTCTTGAGAAAATGGTAGCACAGGACAGAAACTTCCTAAATACACTACTGCTATATATAATTTACATTAAGTTATGAATAATAAGAAAGAGAGAGAGATTACAATTGTGTCTGGACATTCTGTATCAAATTCCATAATTGCATAAAAAAACTTTATTTCAATCTAGGTGTTTAACAAAGGCATAAAAATGGAAATTAAAACTACAACTAAAATTGAAAAGAAATTATCCCTGAGAAACAAATTTGAACTTAACTGATTTTACTAAAAGATTTTCCTTGAAACACTGACTATGTGAACTATAACTTCAGACACAATGAACTGGGGAATTATCCAAATACAAAACGAATTAAAATTAGAGATCAAAAGACAAATAGATAAAAATCAACATTTCTTAGTTTTATACAGTCCTCAGTTTCTACAAGTCACAAGTTTTCATTCTGCGTGTGTTCTTTAAGGCACTTTTATATTTTTGAGAACGTAAATTTACACATATTAAATGGAGACAGCCGCTTCAGAGGAAAAATTCAATACAGAACTGGTCTAAAGAGTAAACACAAATGTTCAAATAAATCCTTTAAGCTGAAAGAAAAGTTGTTTACATTCAATCCGTATTACAGAACTGACTGTCTATACTGGAATGCTTTACAACATGCCCCATTTTTTACTTCTGTGAATATGAATAATGATGGCTTTTAAGCACAAAGATGAATTACAATCAAGCTATAAGGTAATCTGTAAGTGTTCATCCACCATTTGAGTCCTGCTACATGCTGCCATTTTAAGAGTCAGCAGCAGATACTCACGGGAGACAAGAGTGTCTGGAGGATACCGGAAACTAAAGATCCAGTCTTCTTCCACCTTGAGAATGCGTCCAGTGATCCGAGCATAGAACTCATAATTCTCCCGTCCAAACAAGTTGCTCACTCCAAAGTTGTCAATCAGGAATTTCATGATGCGTGTGGCAACCTAAACAGAGGCTTTAACACTGAAGTCCAGATTATGAGCAAGAAGTAAACACAAAATAAATTTTACATCCACCATTACAATATATTACCTATATCAGCAGTTCTCAACCTTTTTTTTAACAAGCTGAGTGACTTCTGTGGAAGCGTACACATTTTTTTACGATGCCTAGCTGAGAAAAGTGACTTTTGAAACAGTCAATAATGTTTAAACAACACAGCAAATTCCCAAAATTCTGCAATTGTATAAATGTTAAATCAGACCACATTATTTGCTAGTCTGGATGAGGTCTGAATAGTTTAATGCAAGGTAGTGTGTACATTATTATCCAGATGGTCTACAGTAAATACATTTGGTACATTTATACTAACCAAAACAGAAGAACCTGAAAATGAGTACTTCATATCATCACCAGCAACAGCCTACAATCTCATCACAAACTGTTTCTACTTTTGATGCAACAAAACAGGCGGATTCTGTGTGTTAGTCTGTCCATCCATCCATTTGATTTCTGAAACTACTCAAATTCCGCAGGCTCTACACCTGAGATATTCAAATAATACATCAGTTTTATTCTGACAAAACTGTTATTTAAAACTTTCTCAATGTGGCAAATTTCAATGGAACACAATGGAAAAAATAATAAATTCCTCAAAAATCTATTATTTCTTCCACAAAACAGCAGACAAGGATGAAAAGAAATCTTTTTTGCCACTTTCAAATTAAAACATAATCACTCATTGAAAAATGTACCTATTCTCGATGTTTTTATTGGATCTGAAATTTGCTATGAAATAAATAAATAATGTTCCCTCCAATCTTTATCAACCAAAAGCCTTGTATGTCACTACAATGTATGGCAGGGTAGAGTAACATGTACAATGAAAAAGAAAAATGAGAAAGTTTCAACAACTTTCTGCCTATTCATAATTATATGACAATCTTAAATGATTAAAATAATAAAAGGGAAAAGGCAATTTATAATTTAATTCCCAATTGATCAGCTCTGGCTGGTTTGCATCCGAGTAAATGGACATCAAGACTCTATGTACAGACACGGAAAATCCCTAAGAATAAATTTGGAAAGTTTGTGCATTTTGATATGAAGCAGATAAAGGTACAATTATTTATGTTAAGTCACACTGGTGCCAAGGTAAAGAGGCCCAAATCCAAAAATCACAAATTAAAAACAAAAGCTGCTTTGCAGCCAAAATTTCATATTAACTGTAAGCCAGAAAACCCAAAACTTGTCTAAGTTCTAATTAAATCTGCATATTTTATAATCAATAAATCTGTTCTGTGAGAACTTTCAAAAACGTTTTTGTTTCCTGTATGTATGCATGTACGAAGTGAAGCTTTTGCGGAGACTGAAGTTGATGAAATACTCTCGGGCTACAAGCCGCATCAGGCGGCCTGTAGCCCAAGAGTATTTAATCAATTTTATGTCTTATATCTACTTACCCTGGCAAGACATAGAAGAATGGGTTGAAATTAACCTGACTGGTCAGCAACAAACACCACTGACTGAAACACGTACATTAACCACATTTATACCGCTGACATGAGTTGTGTTTGAAGTTTTATCAACAAATGAACTGAGAAACCACCATCATTTGAATGGTTTTGAAGCGGGTGACTGCGCACACAAGGTTGAGAACTGCTGCTCTACAATAGCAACACTAAAAAAAGGAACTTAAATTTTGAGCATTTCCTTTTTGCAAGATGCATGGGATACATTTTATAATGTAACTACACCATCACACCCAATCCTTTTCTAAACTGTAATAAACTTACCTAGTTAATACCCACTCCATTTAAAGATTTTAACTGTTTACACATTATAATAATTCACTACTGCTTTAAGCAGCATAATTAGATTTTAATTCAGAAGGAAGTCTAAACATCCATACACAAAGACAAGAAAGAGACTAACCAAGTGAGATTTCAGGTTCTCTTGGCGGCAAGTACGTCTTCTGGGATCTTGCACCATGCATACTTGTCACAAGATATCTCCAAGCTTTGCTGACCATTACAAACACACATGTTGGTGGCCATCCAGCCTAAGTACAGTGAGGGAAGGGAAGCGAAAGCACATAAAGTGTACTCCCCCCCTTGCCCTTTCCACC